CAGCCGCCATCGCCGCCACATCGCCGGGACGGCCCTGCAAGGCGCCGCCATAGGGTCCGTGCCCAGAGCCGCCCGGAGGGGGACACTTCCGGTAGAGCGGGCCGTCCCGCTGCAGGCGGCCCCCCCCAGGAAACGCGGAGGGGGAAATATTAGTTCCGGGGGGATCCCATCCCCGTGGAAATCGTAGAATTATAAAATCGTAGAATTATAAAATCGTAGAATTATAAAATCATAGAACGTGCTGAGCTGTAAGGGAGCTTTAAAGGTCATCTAGTCTAACCCCTCTGCAGTGAGCAGGGACATCTTTAACGAGATCAGGTTCAAGCCTGACCTTGAACGTCTCCATGGATTGGGCCTCCACCGTATCTCTGGGTGACTTGTGCCAGGGTCTCACCACCCTCATGGTATAGAAATATCTAGTCTAAACTTGCCCTGATGTAGTTTAAAAACATTGCCCCTCGTCCTGTTGCTACACAGCGGTGTGAACAGGTGTGTTTTTATTCTGGAATATTAATCCTAGACTGGCCTTGGCTGGCAGGGAGACTAGTAATGACATTAGAAATCATTTAATCCAACCTCCCTGTCGTGGGCAGGGACGCCTCTCAACTAGATTAGGCAACACACGGATGCTGAATTGGGGATCCCTCGGAAGCTAAGCCCAGGCATTCCCAGCCCCTCTGGTATCTGAGGACAAGCTGGAACGCAAGGGGGTTTAGGTTCTGCCAGACCGATTTGCCCCTTTGCCGCAACATCTGCAAGTGGTGAACTTGTGCTGAGCTTATAATTTGTTATAGGAAAGAAGAGTGCTCCCTCTGGAAAAAAAAGAAAAAAAAAGTAGTCTCACTGGTCAGCAGAAGCTGCATCCTTGGGAGAAGAGAAGGAACAGAGGAAGGACCCAGCGAGAGGAGATAAAACTGAGCACAGGAATGTAGACAGAGGCCAGAGGAACATCTCAGCAACCATGAAATTATTAAGTTCTCTATTTTTAGAGATGTTAGAAGGGGGGGCAGCAAAACTGCTGCTTTGGGCTTCAGAAGGGCAGAGTTTGATTTGTTTAGGAGGTTACTTGATAGAATCCCTTGGGAGTTGGTTTGGAAGGGTACAGGAGCCCAGGAAGGCTGGATATTTTTTAAGAAGGAAATCTTAAATGCACAGGGACAGGCCATCCCCATGTGCCCTAAGATGAGCCTGTGGCAAAGAAGACCAGCCTGGCTGAATAGGGACATTTGGCTGAAAATTAGGGAAAAAATGAAAGTTCCTCCTGGTGCCTTCCCTGACCATCTCCCCAAGGCCTCCTCCCCTCTGAGAGCTCCGGGACCCTGTGCCCTCCCCAAAAAACCACACACACACACAAAGCTGTGCTGCAAATGGCTCTTTATTGCCATTCCCGGTGGTCCTGGCAGGGCCAGGCGTCCCTTGGTGGCTTCAGTAGGTGCTGAAGACGGCTTCAATGTGCTCCCCGTCATGCGGCTTGTAGGTGCCAACCCCTGTGGCGGAGAGACGAGGCGTGAAGCTGGGCCACCACAGGTCCCCTCCAAACCCCCCACCCTGCCCTGCTCTTGCCCACCTTCCTGGAGGGGTTCCCCGCTGCTGAGGAATTGCCAGTAGGTCCTGTCGTTGGTGTTGGCAGCCAACTTGTGGATGGAGACCACCATGGGGCCCCAGGAGGTCTGCTCTGTCTGGAAGCTGCCGGGGAGATGAGTTGGCTCAGGGCTCGGTGAGAAGACGTCGTAGTCTCCTCCCCAAGCCCCTGTGGCTCTCACCTAAATTTCTCAGGTTCCTTTTCCTCCGCCACTTGCAGCACCTTGAGCAGCCTGGAGCCCTCGGGGACATGCACTGCGATGGTGTAGTTGAAGTGCCGTCCCTGCAGCGTGTTGATGACAGAGTAGTGCACCTTGATGGTGGCTCCTGGAGGGGAGAGGGGCAGGGTGGGTGTCTGGCACAGCCCACAGGGCAGGAACGCTGGCTCCACGGGGTCTGGCAGACAGCTGTACCTCCGGGAAAACTGGTTGTACCCAGATTTGGTGAGGTGGATGACTCTAAGGTTGGGGACAGAGGGACATCGTTGGAGCACTCCAAGCTGGCTGCGTCCAGGTAGGATTTGCCCACGAGGGCAGGAAGGACCTGGGCGATGGCCATGGGCTGCTGGTAGTCATGGTGGTACACCACGGAGAAGGCTTGCTCGCAGTCCCACTCCCGGGGGGCGTAAAACTTGCTCGTGGACCCCAACGCCTGCGGAAGAAGCGAGAGGTGGCGTGAACAATCCCAAAAGTGGGACCAAGTGGCTGCAGAACCGCTGCCTCCTCCCCTCCCTGTACCTGCAGGGCCAGCCCCATGCTGTAAATGTTCCCTATCATGCCGTCCCTCAACTCCTGCTCGTCAAGGAAGTCGTTGGTCACCGTCGACAGCGCCAACCAGAGCAGGTCCTGCACGTCGTGGAGGTCCGTGTGTCCGTACGTACACGCCAGTGCCAGCGCCGCCACGGCACGGGTGTCTGTGAGATCCCGGTGTCACTGCCAAGCCCCCTGGGGCAGAGCCCCCGGGAGTGAGGCTTTGCAAGCAGGTGGGATGCGGAGAGGCTGGCGGGGGTCCCTTACCCACGGAGAGCTGGCTCTCAGGGCTCAGCACCTGCCTGGCGAGGGCCACGGATGCCTCTTGGTAGCCCCCAGCCTGTGTCAGGCA